TTTTTTTTTTTTTTTTTTTTTCTGAACAGACCTTAACATACAAACTATAAACTGCATAACTGCATGAATATGTCCTTCATTTATAATATGTCGTTGTAAAGCAAACATCAGCTAACTGAACAGACTTTAGTTTCAGTGCCTATAAGCGCGTCTGCCCGCAATTACTTTTCTACCGGCTACGGATTTTCGTGTTGTTACCGGACAGTTGGTGGTTATTCGCTTCTGTTTAAAGTCATATATTCGACGACAAAAGTAAACCTAAAATCACTGATCAGTTAAAGAAATATCAATGCAAAATGATAAGAAATTGGAAAAAAAAGTTGTGTAATTGCAAAACCCCAACACCAGCTTTGTCCATCTTTATTCAGGAGTAAAATCATAACTGTTAAACTGTCAATAAATAAACGAATACATATATATTTACTTATTCATACTTAAATTTATTTTTGTAATTACATACATAACAAATACTCCACTACTACAGTAATATCATTTCGCAAGAAAAAAAAGTTCGACTTACTAATTCCGGTAGAGAATCTTCACAAGGAAGAGAGCTACGACGATGATATTCCTTTTCAGCTCGTGGCCAAACTTCGTCTTCCACTCTTGGACGTTCCTCTCGGGGTAACGCATCAATCTTATTCTCCGCAACATACCTGTGAAAAAATAAACATCAACAACAAACATAAATTGAGAGCATCACATGTAATTGAGAAATATAGAAATGAGTTAGAAATTTTTTTTTGTAGGCCCGAAAATCAAAGCCGGCAACGCTGAAGAGAGTCACAGTTTAAAAAAAGCTTGTGGCAACAAACATGACATAAAAATACAAAAAAGATGTGCAGTAATATGTTTCCACTTATTACCGATTATATTCATTCACAGTCAGAACGTAGACAACTTCCTGAATTGTGTCCACAGGAATAGCGTCGATATGCCGCGACGCTAAAAGTTCACGCGGAGAAATTGGAGGATTAATACTATTTTTGTCTACCTCCACCTGCTCATTTGTGTAATACCAAAATAAAGTTGCCATCAATGACCCTGTAAAGCAAGCTGCCATATTTATTTCACAGTGAGAAAAACACTTTAGAATTTCCGTTAGAAAGTATCGAGAGGAATTCTGGATTCCTCCTGCGAAATGCAGAACAAATCAGAAAATCAGAGAGTTTTAGCTGAAATTAAAACACAGCGAAAAAAGTCACACTACCTTCCTTATCTAAGAAAATCCGGGTCACTTTTCCGATATTTCTAGACCCATCCTCCGAGTTTACAATCACTGCATCATTAATCCTTATTCTTTCCGGTTCCTTTTTATGCTTAACTTCCGGAAAACATAAGAGTTTGATTGGTGCAATGTCATTCTAAAAATGCAACTTAGGTACACTGTAGTTCAAATGATTATTGAAACCAGCGTTAAAAAGTGCCTCATAAAGAAAACTTCTCAGTTAAAAATTATGAAACTATTTCTTACACTGGTGTACGTATAATGTTTTTCACCGGATGTGACAGGTACCCAGTTTGAATGAATCTTCTGTTGAATTTTTTTCCGGCCCCGTGATTTCACTGAAGCAGGACTCGAAGTGCCAGACATACTGCTCACACCACTAGAAGACGGAGTGCCTAATGACTGATCGTCATTTATTTTCACCTCAATTGGTGTGTCATAATGTGATCCAATGAATGTTTCCTAAAACACAACCAGTTTTGGGTAATTAGAAAGTAAGCCGACCTGACAAACATGAAAGAAAAAGCCTGAATAGAAGATAAGTTTCGTATACTTTGTTAAAATAATTACTTTTGATTTTTTCTTTATTTTCCGCCTCGGTTCCTTAACATCCTTATTTTCAGCTTTTCTCTTTTGCTTTTTATGCGCTGACTGTTTCCTCTCCAACGACCGTTTCGTTACAGCGATTGTTGAGGCGCGGAGAATTCTTCTTGGCGTATCTTCAGCTTCAAGACGCTTTAAAAGTTCTGGATCTAAAGATGGTGTGAGGCTGGGTGACGGCCTTACTGCGTTCGTAATAACTTGAACTGAGTCAATGCACTTCTTCTCGTCGTCATCTGTTCCTGTCTGAATATTATTTGTCTGTTCCGAAGAGACAGTCATCAGTGGAGTCTTGTTCCCTAATGGTACTGTCTGCTTTTCTAATTTCGCAATATCTTCAACGTTTTCCTGCAAAAAAAAAATCTGATAGCATTCAGATTATGGAAGATACTTTACAATTGAAAAGGGAAGCATAAGTAAAATAAGAAGATTTAAAATAAGAAAAAAAATAAGAAGATATGTAATGAAAAAACTAATAACCTTCAATAAGAAATGCACAGCAAACATTTGGAAGACCAATATTGAGGAATTAGACAACCACAGAACTACAGAACTTATCTTCAGAATTTAAGAATCAAGAAAAGAAAAAAAAACGAAGAAATTATAATTTGAACATTTGATTTACAGAACCAGTTGTAACTGTCTTCAAATAACCGAATACGGTTTAAATATTAAAAAAATAGAAAAAAATGAAAAAGTTTGAAATTTATTTCATCGTCGTCAATCACGTTAAATACAAGAAGACGACGAGAAAAGTGCGCTTACTAAACCCAAAATTTTCAATGAAAAATAATAAGAGTAACAGTAACGATAATAATAATAGTAGTAAGAATCATGATAACAATAACGATAATCTTTCTTGAAAACAAACTGTGGAGATTTTTAATGATGCAACAAATAAAATAAAATTCTAAGAACTCAAAACATGGCATTTTTTCCCTAAAAATTTGACCCATCGCCCCTCTACTTATTTCACACTTCTGTCATCATGTGACCTGATATTCCGTCGGATACATTACAATAAGAAAGAACGAGTAGTGTCCGTTCGAACAATCAAGCAACCTAACATTAATATTACATTGGAAAAACAGATAGCTATGTTACCACAAAAGAAAAAAAAAAAAAAAAAGCCAAAACCATCAAGCCGAGAGAATTTAAAACAAAAAGTTCGAATTTGCTACTTATACCAATTTGATTTCATCATACCAAATCTTTCGCGAATGGCCCTGCTGATTTACCAAATACTTTCTTCTAAACATCTAGCCGGGAATGAATGTGTCAAATTAGAAATCAATTTTTATCTAATACCCGGTCATTTTTCATCTAATTAAAGCTTTTCCAGAGTTATTTTCATCTGATTAAAGCTTTCACAGAGTTATTTCTGTTTCTGCTACGTTGTGGTCCTTGCCAGGTGAACAATAAAATGAGTTAAGGAGTTCAAATCTCAAGGTACAGTTTTCATCAGATACAGACAGACGAAAACAACAGCTTCTTCGGTTCATGGTTGAGCATTAATGAATAAGAAACGTATAATTGGAAACAAGGGACACAAAATGTCCCGGTTAACAGATGTTCTTGAACGTTTAGGCAGACAGAAAGATGAAAAACCTAAGATTCTCAAAACGGCATTACCTTTTTTACTTTTTCAACAGCATTACTGTTTCTATTTTCACAGAATTCTGTCTGTTCATTAATTCGACATTCTTCGATAAATCGTTTGTCCGTAAATATCGTTGGTGACTCGACCTTTTCCTCCGGATAAACACGAGCCAATATGTCATCGATACAGAATGTTTTCCGCATTCTTGTCTGAAACAAGCAAAAAAATCTGAGTTGAACGAGTGGAATTAAAGAATTTAGATGTATGCTGCCTGTATGGCACAAAATAACATATTATTTCAAAAAATCCACACAGGTCCTCTGTCTGACAGTCTAAAAAAACGCAAAGGCAATTTATGATCTGTTTTAACACAGTCAAAAAAGAAAAAGTCTGTTCACAACATATCTGCGAAAACAGAAGTAACGCATTGTCATCATGTGAGACCTATCCAAATCACAGCTGATCAACAAAGTTGATATAGATACCGAAAATCTGTTAAAGCTAAAACCAGCAGTACCTAACTATCTGACACTAAAAAAATCAAAAAAAAAAACCCACAGAAACTGTTCAACTGTTTAAAGAAAATACCAGTTGGAATTTTCGTTGTCTTAACAATTCACTGCACTACAGCTACAATATTACAATAAATTGCAGTGAAAGGAACATAAAAATTAAAGTTCCCTTCCCTCATTCGGCAGAGGCAAAAGAATGAAACAAAAACAACAAAACACAGAGTCCTAGATAAAGAAATATAGCAAAAAAAAGAGGAAAAAAAAAAACAAAGAATAAGCAATCAGATCAATTATAGTTTAAATTCCGAAATTTTTCAAAATTAAAATGAAAAGAGTAAAAAAAACAGAAGGAACCAAGGCCAATAAAGTCCCGTGTTTTTCAAAAGGTCGACACAGCAATCCCAAAAGAGCAACTAAACAATAAGTATAATAATAATAATACAGCAAAGATCAAAGAACATTTTTAGACCACCAAGAGCCGTAGCGGTGCTTGCGAGGGGAGGAGGAGGACAACGACAACGAGGCGAAGGTAGAGCAGGAACTAGGGGAGGAGTGTAGGAAGACGGAGAGGCCAACACAGAATAGCAGCCAGCAGTGAGGGGAAGAAAGGAGAAACGCAGCAACTATAAATGTATATTCACGGGCCCTCGCCCGATGACATCATCGCCACCATCACCAGCAACAGCAACAGCAACAGCAGCAGCGGCAGCAATAGCATTAGCAGCAGCAACCGCAGCAGCAGTCAACATGGCCAATTTCGTTCGTTGCTTTTTTTTTATTTTCCCCATTTCCATTGATTACCAAAACAACAACTAAACTGTTTATCCAAAAAAAATTCCATCCATCCCCCAAAACAACAATCTCAACTTGTTTGTTTGTTCAGCCAACCAACAACATCTGTTGATGGATGTTCGTAAAGCCTTCTTCCAATTGACTGGATAACTCTGAAATGAACTGTGGTATACCTCCTCACTGGTGAGGACAAAATAAACAGATAACGCAAGTTAATAATCCATTCTAAAACAATTAATGGATCAGTAGTCACACAGAATTGTTTTTCATACCTACTTTGTTCCACCAATAAACTTCGCATGCATTTCTTTATCGGAAAGTACAGCTTCTTCACCAATTTTTTTTTCTTTTTGAACAACCTTTAGATACAGTTGAAATACTGACTAATTATGGCAAAAAACCGTTCTAAAACTGTGAAAAGGCTACACAGTTGAACATCATCACTAATCATTTGAAATCGGTGTAGAAATGAAGAAAGCAAGAAAAGGCGAACAAACGAGATTCTGAATATTAACAGCCCAACAAAATGCTCAGTACAACAACTAACAGTAATTTTGATGTTTGGAATAAAAAACAAAATTTTCTTTTTTTTTTTTTGTTTCGAAGATACAAGGATCAAACTTGGGTAGTTCAAAAAGCAGTGAAAACTCTATGCTACAAAAATACTTGTTTTTATTAATGATTACCGAGAGATCAGGAAGACTGAAAAAGCCATTTTTTATTTCTTTGTTTTATTTTTTCTGTGAATCACTGCATGAAAAATTTTTAGTTACAAATATCTCGAAAAAATACCAAAAGAAAAAAAGAAGACTTATATGTATATAAATCTATTGAAAAAAAAAAACAGTCCACTTATCTTATACCTTGAAAATAAAAAAAACAAAGAATGAAAGCAGAAGGAAAAAGGTAAAAAGAAGAAAATAAAAAAAAAATTGTAGAACCAATTAATGACATATAGCGAAATAGATAATAATATGGAAAGAACGATATTTTTTTTCTTGATAAGACAAATAACAGTTTGAAAATTTTTTCCTTCTGCCTTTTTTTCCTTTCTTATTTTTCGAAATACTTTTGCATTTCCAATGATTCAACGATTCCTTGAACGTCTACGAACAGCAGCAGCAGCAGCATAGATGAACGCAGAGAACATCTCTCCTTTAAGCGCCGTGCACTTCGAAAAATTAAGAAACGAGACGAAAAAAAAACAGAAGGGAAAAAAACTTCATTGATTTAACGCTTCCTTAAATGTACAATCATTTTCCTTCTTCTAACTTCTTTCTTCGTCTTCGTCTTCATCTTCCTCTTCTTCTTCCTCTCCTTCTTCTTCTTCTTATTTGTATTCTTCTTCTCTGTCTTCTTCTTTCAACAAGAATTACTGCTCAAGTAAAAGAAAAAAAAGACCACTTAAAAATCTCAATGAATATGCTGTTCAAAAAGAACAAACTGCATAAATGTAATACAATTGTATGAATGTTAAAACCAAAACAAAACAAAACAAAAAAAAGAGTACCCAATTTTATTGGGATCATAAGAAAACGCTGCTACTGCTGTTAGCTGATCGCAAGCAATAAAATATAAACGGTTAACTGTGTGTATTGCTGATAACGACTAATATTGGCCTAAACTGGACTTACATCGGTAAGCAACCAATACTTTCACTCAATACCAATTGAGAGCAGAAAAAAAAAAAACTACAGTGTTATAATAAATACTGCTGTTACTGCTGTATATGCATCAATAATCGACAAATGTGTCTGAATATTAGTTTTTCCTTGAATGAACAAAGAGGAAAAAAAATATAAGCGATGACAAATGAAATGAGTCAAAAATGAATTAAAAACAATTAATCAGACGTAAAAAGAAAAAAAAATTGAAAAAAATTATTGCAATCAATGAGGTATTTTTTTGTATTTCAAAAATGTTTTAGATTATCATTTCTTTTCTCATTTACGTCATTTTTATAGGTCATTATAAAGTTTTCATGAAACATTTGCCATGTTTTGCCGGCCAAAAGAAAAAAAAAAACTATGATAAATTTCTGATTCTATTAATCAGCTACCAGCAACATCAACAGCAATAACTGCAAAAAGCAATGGTTACTGCAACAGCAATAGCAATAAATGAAATGACGGCACTCCGACAAAACGGCAGAAGCAGCAATGATCAATTGAAGCAATTGAAGTTACGTAATTGTATATATCGATTTCACCAATTGATGTCATTTATATTGCATATGATCCATTCCTTGAAACCTCAGCTACCAACAATTTTCATTTCTTTATTTGTTTAACAGAGAAATAGAAGAAAAAAAATTTAGAAAGGTAGAATTAATTTAAACAGCCTCAAAAAGTATCGTTAAAATGCTACAATAATTCCATGTGTATGTACAATGCTGTAGAAAACTGAAATGTAAAAGAAAAAGTAGAAAACAAAAGAGAAACTCATTATTTAGGCATCAGTTTAAAAAAAAAAAAAAAAATGAAAAATATTTTTGCATCACCCTATGCATTCATCAGTACCAACAATCTGAACTGCAGTTATAACGAAAAATAAATCTTTTACGAATAAATCAGTATCAATACTTAAACTGTTAATTTCAGTACCTTCATTCACTAAAATCACCGACAGCTAATAAGAATGACAACTGACTGACTGACTGACTAAATGACTGATCAAGCTCAAGTGTTTTTCCTTTGAACAGCTCCTTAAAGTAAACAATTTTTTCCAATAAAAATCAAGAAATGAAAAAAGTATATAATTGTAAAAAAAAAGTGCTTCATTGTGCAAATATGTCCCAAAACCTCTTAACCATATTTATTGCTCAATAAAAAGTGGTGCTACTGCCAAAAAAAAACAGGTAGCATTAACAAAAAAGTTAAGCCTGAAAAGTTAAAAAACTCAGATACAGCACCAAAGAATCAAAAAAAATTAAAAAAAAACGAAATTAAAGTTATCAAAAATGGATACAGTAATAACTCCGCCTTTTTGCAATTGATGGTAAGCAACAATAAAATTCATTTGCACCAAAACTACGGAACAAAAAAATATATGCAACCGATGAGAATAGAAATATATATATATATACCATCATAGAGACTAATAATATAGATCAAAAAAAAAGGTTTGAGCGAAAAAAGAATGGAACCTTGCTGTGACTACCGCTATAAGCACTGAACGTCACCTCGTTCCATGACAATTGATGCAGCTAATAATTGAGTTACACCGCATCTGATACGTAAGCTCTTACGTCAAACTCAGCATTAAACCAGTCTAAATTCCACCTCTCTTCTCCCCTTCCCCTCGAATGCAGAAATATTTGCAGCGATATGTTATGATGCTTC